GTAGAAGAAAGGGATGAAGAGTCTGTGTAGAGCTAAAGAAACAGCAACAGATAGTAAACACTGGTAGAAGTGGTTTATGAGCCACTAAACAGTAGTGAGTCTGGTGTAAGTCAGGAAATTAAAGGTGCATAAAGCAAGGGGAATGCAACAATTGGGGGTGACTTCAATCTACATATAGACTGAATAAATCTAATGAGAACCCATACCATGGAGGAAGAATTCCTGGAATGTGTTGAGGAACCATGTTCAAGAACCATGTGGGGCACAGACTATTGTAGATCTACTACAATGCAATGAGAAATGGCTAAAAAAATGTTGCAAAAGAACATTTTGGATTCAGTACCACAGTATCACAGAATTTTCCATTAAGTTTGATAAAGATGTAATTCAATTGTAAACTAGGGTTTCACTACAAACAAGGGAAATTATAATGGTATGTGGAGGAAGGTAGCTATAGTGGATTGGAAAACTACATTAACATTTTGACAATGAAGAGGCAATGGGTCACATTTAAAGAATCAATGCTTACTTCTCTAAAAAATATCATATATTCATTTAAGATGGTAATCCAACAGGTAAAAGCAAGAGAACTGAGGCTAACAAGGGACACTTGGATCATAGTAGATCAAGGAAGGTAGTTTATAAAGTTGCCAAAAATGCTGTAAACCTGAGAACTGGGAGAATTTTAGTATTTTGTGAAGGAGATCTAAGAAATTAACGAAGGAAGACTTAGAATATGAACTTAAAACAGCAAGAAACAATAAAATCAGATTGTAAAAGCTTCCGTAGTTATTTTAAAAGGAAAAGATTAGCAGAGACAGTGTGGGTGCATTACAGATGGAGGCAGGGGAATTTATTACAGGAAATAGAGAAGTAAGTAGCATTATGTAAGTAACCTTATATGTGTCTGGTCTTCAGAGGAAGACTGAATACATTTCCCTTCACTCATTGTGATCGAAGGATCTAGTGTGAGTGTGGAACTGCTAGAAAGTAATGAAAAGGTAGTATTGGAGAAATTAATGAGAATTTTGTTTTATTCATTCATAGCTGACACTGACTGTGCCAGCATTTATTGCATTAACCCAATTGCCTTTGAGAAGGTGGCCATGAGCTGCCTTCTTAACCACTGAAGCCTTTGGATTCTAAGGACCTCACTGTTGTTAGGAGGGGAGTTCATTAACCTGATTCAATTTGCATCAGAGATATAGGGTAATGTAAGAATATGCTACTGATGTAGATGATCAGCTGTGATCTAGAATGATAGAAGAGGCTGGAGGGGTTGAATAACCTCCTTCCATTTTGTTTCCTTTCAGCTATGGTGAGATTTGAACTTCAGGCCCGCCATTGCCAGTCTGGTACCACAGCTATACTGCCAGCACGTCCAGAAAACCCACCATACACGGTCGCTCCCTGACACCAGGGCTGCTGCCTCACCTAGCTAGGGGAGATGAGTTTTGGTGGCGGGGGACATGTTTCAAGGGTGCTCTCCACAGCAGTAGCATCAGTGTCTGACTAACGGTCACTGCATTAAAGACAGTGTGAGCCTAAGGATTTGATGAAATTAGTATATTCCACACATAGACACAACACACATATACTACAGACAAACACACACACACACTACAGAGAGACATGCAAATTATACACATGTACGCTACACACAGATAAACACAAACACACTACATAAATACTACAATCAACACACACATTACAGACAGACACACACACACACACTCACACAAAATTAACAGACACACACATACATACACACACACAATTGACAGACACACACATACACACAATTGACAGACACACACATGCATACTACAGACAGTCACACACAGACTACAAACAGGCATACAAACACATGCTAGAGACAGACACACATGCACCGTACAGACAAATACACACTACAGACACACACACTCTAGACAGATGTGACAATGCACACCACACACACACACATACACACGCACGCACTACAGCAGTAGCTCAGTTGTTAGCTTTCTTGGTTCTATACCAAAATGATTGTGGGTTGAACATCCCATTCTCAGACATCAGCGCAGAGTACAGAGGAAGTGCTGCACTGTCAGTGGTGACATCTTTTAGGTGAGATGTCTACCCTCTGCAGGTAGAATTGTGATGGGACTTATGCTGTGGAGAGGCAAGGAAGATCAAAAGGGAAGGCAAATGGTGGGGGTCATCTGTAGGCCACTAGATTTTCTTTTCTAGTGAAGCAGATAGGTTTTTAACTATTAACAGTTGTCATCATGAGGCTAACTTTTTAATCCCAGATTTTTTAAGTTCCACCACGGTGGGTTTTGAGCCCATGTGACCAGAACATGAGTCGGGAGATTCTGCATTTCAAGTTCCTGGACATTACTACAACATCACTGCCTGATGGATGGAAAAGTAAAGCTGTAATAAAGGAACAAAGCATTGTTCCAGAATAAGTGTTCATGGCAGAATCATCAATAGCTCTGTTTGAACGAAGCAATATGAAAAACAAGGTTCGGGCCAGCACACAGTAAAACAAAGGATTGAGAGCCGATGGTCTGAAACTGTTAAACTTATTGATGAGTCAAAAGGCTGGAAACTGCTTGTTCCTTGCTCCTGCACTTAGCTTCACTGGAACTCTGAAGCAGACAAAGGATAGAACTATGTCAGGTCAGTTGTAACATTGACATGGTTCGGAAACCTGATGCTCATGACGGTGCTGCCATTGTCTGCCATACTGTCTTCTACCTTGCAAACACTGAGCACCAACTTTTAACACTACTTTGGCCCTTTCATCGCACATCAAGACTTTTTTGCCCTCTAAAAGTCATATTCAACATGAATCATAGAATCTGTGCAGCATAGATAGAGGCCATTTAGCCCATCAAGTCTTCACCGACCCTCTGAACAGAACCCACCTAGACCCAGTCCCCTACCCGATCCCCATATTTCCCATGGCTAACCCACCTAGCCTGCACATTGCTGGACACTATGGCGCAATTTAGCATGGCCAATCCACCTAACCTGCACATCTTTGGATTGTCGAGGGACACCGGGGCACCTGGAGGGAACCGCAAACACAGGAAGAATGTGCAAACTCCACGCAGTCACCCGCGGGTGGAATCGAACACAGGTCCCTGGAGCTGTGAGTCAGCAGTTCCAATGACTGAGCCGTTGGGGCACCCATTCAGTCTCTTTTTCACTTGTGGGCTAATCACTGTCACTGGCTGCTTGACATTTATTGCCTGTCCCTAGTTAACTTTGAACTCAGTGGCTTGGTAGGCCATTTCAGAGGGCAGTTAAGGGTCAGCCACATTGCTGTGGGCCTGGAGTCACATATAGGCCAGACCAGGTAAGGATGACAGTTTCCTTCCCTAAAGGACATTAGCAAACCAGATGGATTTTTCTGACAATCAGCAATGGTTTCTTCATTCCAGAGCATTTTTCTTATTGAATTCAAATTCCCCCATCAGCCAGGGCTGGATTCAAACCTGGGTCCCCAGAACGTTAGTTGAGTTTCTGGATTAATGATCTAATAATAATACCATGGGCCATCACCTCCCCAACAGATGCTGCCTGATCAACTGAGCATTTCCTATATTCTCTGTTTTGAGATTCCCAGCCTCTGCCATATTTCACTTTAGTCCTGTTTTGTGTCCTGGCCAATATCTAATCCTCTGGCAGCATCACAGAAACAGTTAATCTGGTCACTGTCGCATTGCAGTGTTGTGGGAACTTGCTGAGTGCAATTTGGCTGCATCGTTTCCGATACTACAGTGGGGGCACAAAGTTCGTCATTGGCTGTAAAACACTTTGAGATGTCCTTCAGTTGTGAAAGGTTATAATTGTCGGTCCTTTTCGTTCCTTAAACACCTGCACACAGATACACACAGAAGCATGTGCAAGCAGACATGCACACAAATTGAGACAGAAAGAGCAGGGTAGAAGGTTGAGAGTCTTGCGTGGTTATTGAATGAGATCACACCTACAATCAGAGCTGATTAGTATCTGTGATAAGTAGTTGATTACAGGACAGAAAGATGAGAGGTTTGTAGCCAGACTCAGACTGCCACCGATAGGAATCTGCAACCTCTATCAGCAAATACTGAAGTAAAGTTACAATAGTTTAGAAACCATTCCAGCTCCCTCTCTCTCGTGTGCATGTGTGCGTGCCTGAGTGTACATGTGTGTGTCTGCCTGAGTGTACAGATGTGTTTGTGTGCATGTGTTTGTGCATGTGTATGTGTGTGTATGTGTTTGTGTGTGTGTGTTTAGTCTTGAGTGGAAATGTCTGCGTGCTTGTGTGCACGAGTGTATCTGGGTGTGAGTGTACTCATGTGTGTCTATGTATGTTGTGTATGAGTGCATGTGTATGAATATATGTTCATACATGTGGTGTCCCTGCATGGGTGCATGTGTGTGCGTGAATGCATGTATGTATGTATGCCTGTGTGTGTATGTCTGTGCCTGCGTGCCTGTGTGTCTGTGCCTATGCCTGTGTTTCACTGACTTTCTCCCTCTCTCATACTCTGTATATGTGTATCTCTTTCAGTCCTCCATGCTCTCTGTCTCTTGCTGTCCCTCCATCGCTTTCTCTCTCTCAACCCTTCTTTGTGCTCTCTCTCTCTCTTCCTTCCTCTGTTGTGCTCTCCCTCTCTGGTTTTCACTCTCTTTCCCTTCCCACTCATCAGCCTTTCTTTCTATCTCTCCTTTCAGTCATTCTGTCGCTTTCTCACCCTAGGCTCTCAAGCTTTTCTGCAGCTAGCCTTCTGTTTCTCTCTCTCTCCCTCTGCCCTTTCAGTCTCTCTTTTCTGAATTCCCCATCTTCCTTCTGCCTCTCTATCTGTTCCTTGCTCTCTTTGTGACTTCCTCTCTCAGCACTCCACCGCCCCAGTTCCTTCTCACTTATCCAGTCTCTTGTCTGTCACTGTATCTCTCTCTCTCCCCACTGCTTTGTGCGCTCGTGTTCCCTCCCTCAGCCTGATGAGTTGTGCAGTACTCACCGTGCACCGTCAGTGTGACTGAAGCCTTGGTTTTCCCCACCATGTTCTCGGCCACACACGTGTAGGTGCCCACATCAGCTGCTGTGACGTGTCGAATGACCAACGTGTTGCCCCTTTGGATCTCAGACCTGTCGAGCAGACGAGAGACAGATCAGAGAGGCTGGAGAAATCCAACAGAGACAACGAAGCACAAGACATTCCAACAGCACCTCTCATTGCCAAGGGACACATTGGTATTGCATTTTGGTATTTACTTAACAGTCAATGGTAGGACCCTGGGTAGTGTGGTAGAACAAGGAGCTCAGGTACATCATTCTCTGACAGTTGCATCACGGGTAGACAGGGTGCTTAAGAAGGCATTTAGCACGCTTGCTTTCATTGCTCAGGCCTTTGAGAATAGGAATTGGGACAACATGTTGAGGCCGTACAGGACATTGCTGAAGCCATTTTTGGTACACTGCATCATGAGGGGCATAGAATATAGAACATAGAACAGTACAGCACAGTACAGGTCTTTCAGCCCACAATGTTTTGCCGACCTATTATCCTACGAAGATCAAACTACCCTGCATACCCTACATTTTACTATCCTCCATGTGCCTATCCAAGAGTCGCTTAAAAGTCTCTAAAGTATCTGACTCCACTACCAGTGCTGGCAGCGCATTCCACACACCCACCACTCTCTGTGTAAAGAACCTACCTCTGCCATCTCCCCTATACCTTCCTCTCATCACCTTAAAATTATGCCCCTTTGTAATAGTCATTTCCGCCCTGGGAAAAAGTCTCTGGCTATCCACCCTATCTATGCCTCTCATCATCTTGGACACCTCTATCAAGTCACCACTCATCCTTCTTCACTCCAATGAAAAAAGCCCTAGCTCCCTCAACCTTTTCTCATAAGATCTGCCCTAAATAGATAAGGTGAAAGACAAAGGTCTTTTCCCTAGAGTGGGAGAGGTCAAAATTAGGGGGCATATTTTTCAGGCGAGAGGAGAAAGATTTAAAAAGGGCATGAGGGGAAATATTTTTACATGGAGAGTGGTTCATATGTGGTAGGAACTGCCAGAGGAAGTGGTGGATGCAGGTACATTTGCAACATTGAAAAGACATTTGGATAAGTACATGAATAAGAAAGGTTTGGAGGTACATGGGCCAAACGCAGGCAAGTGGGACGTTTAGTTTGGGAACATGATCAGCGTGGACAAGTTGGACTGAAGGGTCTGTTTCCACACTGTGTGACTCTACGACATCCTATTGGGTGGGTGGGTGGTGGGGGGTCAGTCTGGTGGTGGTGGTGGCGGTGGGATGTTGGAAGGAGAATGTGTCAGGAGGAAGGTTGGTTGGATAAGGCAGAGAGTTGATCACTGGACAGAGAACACGATTCTCCAGGAACCTGCTGGGACCAAAATATTACATAACATGGTGTAGAGCTGGATGAACACAGCAGGCCAAGCAGCATCAGAGTAGCAGGAAAGCTGACATTTTGGGCCGAGACCCTTCTTCAGAAAGACCCTTCTTCAGAAAGACGCTTCTCGACCCGAAACGTCAGCTTTCCTGCTCCTCTGATGCTGCTTGGCCTGCTGTGTTCATCCACCTCTACACCTTGTTATCTCAGATTCTCCAGCATCGGCAGTTCCTACTATCTCCGGGACCAAAATATTGTTTTGAGAAGTTTTCTCACTTCCGTGGTGAAACCGAATGGCCTGCATTTGCTCTCCTTTTAAACAAAGGGATAACTTGCAGTGCTCCATTTCACCGGCACCAGCCCTCAGTCTAAGGCAGGCTGCAAAACAAATGGACAAAGCGTCTCCCAGTTTCACTCTCATTTCCCTTAGAGGAGTCCATGGAAGCACCTTCACAGAACCACAGGATAATTACAGGACACAGGAAGGCCATTCGGTACATCGTGTCTGCACAGGTCTATCCCTCAGTGCCAATCTCCTGCCTTTCCCATCTTCCTGTACACTGTTTCAGTCCAAATAACTATCTCATGCCACTCTTGAATGTCTCATTTGAACTTGCCTCCACACATTTCCAGTGCACTGCAGACACTAACAGCTGGCTGAGTGAAAACGTTCTTTTCTCACATCACCCTTGCTTCATTTACACTAAATGTTAAGTCAATGCCCCTCTCATTCTTGTTCCTTTTACAAGCAGGAACAAGTTTTCCCGATCTACTCTGTACGATCACACATGTTAAGGTTGGTTGGCTCGCCAAACTGGTTTGTTGTTCCGCAGATGTTTCATTACCATGCTGGGTAATATCGTCAGTGCAGCCTCCGATGAAGCGTTGGTGTGTTTTCCCGCCTGGTTTTTAAACTCTGCAGTCCGTTGAATGGACTCACACATCCGCTATCACATACCACATAGTGGACTCCGCTATCACACGTGATTATGAAAATCTCTGTCAGATTTCCTCTCAGCCTTCTCTCCAAGGAGAACAATCCCACCTTATTCAATCTAACCTGGTTGCAAAGCTCAAATCGAATTAAACGCACACACATTATTTCCTTCTTCCCAATTTTATACACTCCACGTTAAGGAGGTTCTGCACTGTCAGAGGGTCAGTACTGAGGGAGTGCCGCACTGTCAGAGGGTCAGTACTGAGGGAGTGCCGCACTGTCGGAGGGTCAGTACCGAGGGAGTGCCGCACTGTCAGAGGGTCAGTTCTGAGGGAGTGCCGCACTGTCAGAGAGTCAGTACTGAGGGAGTGCCGCACTGTCAGAGGGTCAGTACTGAGGGAGTGCCGCACTGTCAGAGGGTCAGTACTGAGGGAGTGCTGCACAGTCGGAGGGTCAGTTCTGAGGGAGTGCCACACTGTCAGAGGGTCAGTACTGAGGGTGTGCCGCCCTGTCAGAGGGTCAGTACTGAGAGAGTGCTGCACTGTCAGAGGGTCGGTACTGAGGGAGCACTGCACTGTCGGAGGGTGTTACTTTGACGATGGGAGCTCGAACAGTTTCAGTGTTTGCCTTCTGAGATTAATTGGAGGGTGCGGAGTTTTCTCTTGTTTACCCATCAACAGCTGGTCTGCTCATTATCAGAGTGTTGTTTGTGGGGCCTTGCTATGCACAAATTGACTGAAGTGTTTTCTGCATTCCAGCAGTGACTACATTTCACATTGTACTTCATTGGCACTAAACAACTTAGGGATGTAGTGAGGCCGAGATGGGCATTAGAGAAATGAAAGTTTGAGTTCCTCCTTTGCTGAGAGCGGTGAGTGCAGTGTAGTGCCTCCCAATGCCATAGATAGCCATTGGTAGTTCTGTCAGAAGCTTCTTCCGTACCTGCTTTTCGGCAACAAACCATCCTCCTTTCTCCAGTGTACTGTCGGAGTGGGGTCTCCCCGTGCCTCACACTTAAATTCAACCGTCTCATCCACCAGCAGGACCTGACTGCTTGGCTTCTTGACAAAGGATGGTCGCTCTGGGGAGAGAACGAACAGAGGCACAGAGCATAGAAAACATCCTCAAAACTACCACAGACTACCCCAAATAAAAACAGAACTACCCACTCAACAGATGAGGCTATCGCTGTCAAGGGAGGACAGAGGGGATTAATGTTTTAGTTCCTTGAAAGTGCAGTCACAGGTAGGCAGGATAGCGAAGAAGGCGTTTGGTACGCTTGCCTTTATTGGTCAATGCATTGAGTATAGGAGTTGGGAGATCATGTTGCGGCTGTACAGGACATTGGTTAGGCCACTTTTAGAATAGTGCATTCAATTCTGATCTCTCAGCTATAGGAAGGATGTTGTGAAGCTTGAAAGGGTTCAGAAAAGATTTACAAGGATGTTGCCAGGGTTGGAGGGTTTGAGCTACAGGGAGAGGCTGGATAGGCTGGGGCTAATTTCCCTGGAGCATTGTAACTTGAGGGGTTATCTTATAGAAGTTTATAAAATCATGAAGGGCATGGATATGGTAAATAGACCAGGTCTTTTCCCCAGGGTAGGGGAGTCCAGAACTGGAGGGTGCAGGTTTAAAGTGAGAGGGGAAAGTGTTAAAAGGGACCTAAGGAGCAACTTTTTCACACAGAAGGTGGTGTTTGTATGGAACAAACTGCCAGAGTATATTGCAGGTGGGTAAAATTACAAGATTTAAAAGGCATCTGGATAGGTTTATGAATAGGAAAGGTTTAGAGGGAGATGGGCCAGAAGCAGGCAAATGGGATTAAATCAGTTTAGGAAAAGTGGTTGGCATGGAAGATTGGATTGAAGGATCCGTTTCCACGATGTATGACTCTATGACTCTAACTAAGAATGGACAATAAATGCTGGGCCTTCTGGTGCTGTCTTCATCCCATGAAATGCTTTTCTGGAACCAAAAATAATTGTTGCAAACTCTCAGCTGGCCAGGTGCTGTATGTGTGTGTGTGGAGAATGGAAGGGGATTGTTAACATATCATTGCAATGAGTTTAGTTGAGAGGAAATCAGTTATCAACAAATGCATGACAGTGAGGTGGGCACAAAGAGCAGGGCAGTGCGTCAATACCTGGCTACTTTATTCTGTACAGATGAGGGTCCAGGGAATAAAAATAATAACAGAACACATTCTTTGGGCACAGCTTTCCTCAAGATCCCCTTAAGCGACTTTCAGAACCCAACAGTCCAGTGCACACTTCTACCGCCTGCATCCCAATTGCTTCTCTTCTGAAGTGGTCACCCTCCCCACTGACCTGGACAGGATTGACCCAGACTGCAGTGTTCACACTCACCCAGGACGGTCAGCTCAGCCACCTCGCTCTCCCTCTCGCCCACCATATTGGTGCCCACACACACGTATTTTCCAGAGTCACTCTTCCGTGTGTTGGTGATCATCAGCTTCCCTCCCCGGATCTGGCAGGGTTTAACACAGACACACACTGCATCAGCTCAGGCACCGGGGGGGGGGGCGCAGGGAGGGGAGGGGCAGGGTGGGGTAGGGGTGAGGAGGGGGTTTGGAGAGGACAGAGTGCGGGGGTTGAGTGGGGATGAGGTGGGGAAGCAGGGAGAGGGGTGGAGGAGGAGGGTGTGGAAGGGGGTAGGGGAGAGGGGTAGGGGGGAGGGGTGGAAGAGAGGGGTGGAAGAGGAGGGTGGGGAAGGGGG